CTGCTGGCGGCAGTCCCCCTTACCGGCCAGACCCCTTATTATTATTATTATTATTATTATTATTATTATTATTATTATTATTATTATATATTATAATTATTATTATTATTATTATAATTATTTCTTCATTCATCATCTCCTCTGAGAGGGTTTGATATGCTTAATCCAGGTTTGCACCAGAGGATGTAAGCATTTGGAGGCAACTACCAATTTTGCAGGTTACAATGTCGAGTTTTCGCCTGCCAGGACCCTACGGACTGTTATGCATGTCCCCAGTAAAGCGGCTTTCTGAATTTTTTTGTAAACATGTTGGTCAAGGTCTAACTTTCAAGACTTGTGTGTAACTTCTTAAGGACCTCACCTGTTGCGCCAATAACTATCGGTACAATCGTAACTGTATTCATTCCCCACATCCGCTTTATTTCTTCTGACAGTGGTAGATACTTGTTGATTTTTTCTGAGTAGGTACTTTGAAGGTTGACAGGGAGCGGAACCGCGATATCTATAATGTATGTTATCTTTTGCTCTTTTAACGTTAGCACTATGTCAGGGATGTTATTTGGTATTGTGCGGTCTGTGATTATTTTCCTGTTCCAATACATTTTGTGTGACCCAGTCTCTTTAACTGGGAGGGGCGTGTAGCGATAGTATGGCTCAGTAGGTCCTTCATTGAGATAGCGCTTGACCAGTTCCAAGTAGATTATTTTTGCCACGTCGTTATGTCTTTCTAGATACTGTTTTGGGGCGAGTGTGGAACAGCTTGCGATAATGTGGTCTAGGTTCTCGTCTTTACCTCCACAGATTCTACATTTGATATTGTCTATATTTTCTCCCATTATTCGCTTTCTGTAGACTTTCGTAGGCAGCACTTGGTCTTGAATAGCCATCACAAACCCCTCTGTCTCCACGAACAGATTACTGGAACGCACCCACTCTTGGGATGCTTTGGTGTCTACTGCCTGGTCTTCAATTCGCGTTCTATAGCGTCCATGTAGTGGCTTGGATTTCCACTTCTCGATCAGTTCGGGGGGTGATGACACCATCGCGGATGGATTGAGAGCTAGGTTGGCTAGGTTCAGTGGGGTAATGCCCTTATCTCTGTTGGCTAGTGCCTGATGCATTCTGCTACTACTCGCCTTTTCCAAGAAGTATGTCCTTAGATTATCAATTTGCTGGTAATGTCTGGACACCATACTGGGGATTCCTCTTCCTCCTTCGCGCCGTGCTAAGTGGAAGCGCTCTATTGCACTTTTAGGATGATGCGCCCTATACCGACGGAATTCTTTCCTGGTACTTATATCTAGGGCTTTCAGCTCAGTATCAGTCCATTTGAGTATACCGAAGGTGTAGGTAAGCGTTGACGCTGCGTAGGCGTTCACTGCAACAGACGTATTTATAGCAGACAATTCTGATTTAAGAATGATCCTTAATCTTCTCAAGTATTCGTCGGTAGATCTTTGCTTCGACATTTTTTGGTCTATGTCTGGTGCCTGGAGGTAGCCTAAGTATTTGTAGCGTTCATCCCTTTGCATATTGATGATCTCCCCTTGCGACCCTCTTACTTTATACCCTTCATGCTCTGTCCACTTACCTTTAGTCATGCAACTTATGCGGCATTTATCTAAACCAAACGTCATTTGCACATCTTTGCTAAATCTGCTCACACAATCCAACAGCGCATGTAGGTGATCCTTCTTCTCTGCAAATAATTTCAGATCATCCATATACCAAAGATGAGATAGTTGTGTACCATCCTCGGCAATCTTTACGCCTTTTTCTTGACTGTTTAACAGCGATGTTAGTGGGTGTAAAGCTAGGCAAAACCATAGCGGGCTTAGAGAGTCGCCCTGAAAGATCCCTCGTTTTATACTGACTTCTCCAGCATCTATCTGCGAGTCTGGGGTGTTAAGACAGAGACGCGTTTTCCATTTGGACATTGCATAGGTCAATAGTTTCACGATATGGTTTTCTATGCCATACAGGTGTAGCACTTCCGTTAACCATGAATGTGGAATACTATCAAATGCTTTCTGATAATCGATGTATGCAGTGAACAAGGGCGACTTCTTTTTTCTGGCACTACCCGTTATTATTTCATCGATTATCAGTTGTTCTTTACATCCTCTTGAGCCCTTCCGACATCCCTTCTGTTCCTCATCCAATAAGTTGTTACGTTCCAAATGATTATGCACTTTGTCAGCCAATATAGCAGTAAGCAGTTTATACGCTGTAGAAAGGCAAGTAATTGGCCTGTATTTTGCGGGATCAGCAGTATATTGTTCAGTTTTTGGGATCAGGTATGTAACTCCTGTTGTTAGAAATTCTGGGATAGTTTCCGGCCTCTCGAGGAATGTTGAGTAGCATTTCGCAAGTTGTTGGTGGGTGGAAGTAAATGCCTTTATCCAGTAATTGTGAACACCATCTGGCCCTGGAGCTCTCCAATTGGAAGTCCTACGTATTGCTGTCACTACATCATCCTTAGTTATGGTCCAAGACAGCATTGCTTGTATGGAAGTTCTAGCCTTCTCTTGCTGATACCAATGCGCTGTTCTGTGTTCTCTGGGGTTGCTCCATATACCGCTCCAGAAGTGTCTTATGTCTTCTGTGTTAGGAAATGATGTTTTTCCTTGTAGTATACGATCTGATTCTTTGCCCACAGATTTATAAAATGCTCTCTGATTTCTATGAAATAGGATGTTTTGTTTACGACGTTGGCTGCTCTTCTTATATCTCTTCACTCTTTGAGATAAGGCTAATAGTCTCTGCTTTAGAAGGTCCAAAACTTCGACTATGGTTGGGTTTTCTTCCGATGTATATCGTCGCATTATTGTGTCCCCTTTCTTTTTCACTCTTTGGCTGTATGTCGGTTTTTGGTACTGCGTTAGGATAGCTATATCGCTCCTGATATTATCTATGTTCTTGCTTAGCCTCCTTTCCCAAGCTGGCTGCCTTTTAGTTCCGTTCCGACTTGTAACATCTGTAGGTCTCTGACCGTTTAGCTTTAGAACCGCGAACGCCCCAGCATAGATCATGGCGTGTAGGTCCTTAAAATCTGTTTGGTCGCTAATATCAGCAGCGATAATTCTGTTCATTTCACGTAGGTTTTTAGCTGCCGTTGGGTTGCAAAATAGTTTGGGTAGCCGAGGCTTTTTTGTCGGATCTATACCGTCATAGCTCATTATGATGGCTCTAAATTCCTCCTCCAGCACTGATGGCGAATAGCTTGGCGTTTCAGTCTGAGCGTCATTTGCTTGCTCTTGACTCTGCTGTGCATCATTTACCATGCCCAATTCGGTTGCTACTTCATGCCTAATTGTATCTATTCTCTCCGCTGGCAATCTGCTGTTCACAAATATAGATCTGCGCTGGTCTATGATGTTCTGCAGTGTCTTTTGTCTTAACTGGGGAAATTTTTCTGTCACTAATTTATGCAATTCAGCACCATAAGGTTCCTGTGAAGTTTGCAATTTGGTAATTCTATAGTAGCAGCGAACCACGTACTCATTCATTTCTGTCGTCCAAGTGGTTCTCTGCCGTCTACTATGGGCTGGTAACATGGGCTGGGGCGATGCGTCCACAGCAACATTATTACCAGCATTGACCGCTTGGTGGTGTTGTGTTAGGTCATTCAGTGAAGTATTTGTATATGTGGTGATGTTGGGGGGATTTCGCTGGATGACGACCGGGTGCGACCTTCCCCTACGCTCCCTGCCGGACGCGGACCTCGTCGCATAGCGACGAGTCCCGATTACGTCGTTACATTCCGAGGCTTCATTTTGTTCCTTCTCCATTTCTGGGTAATTTTGTTCTCTTTTTATAAGTAGGTGTAATTGTTTACCTAAAAATGTTAAAACTCAGGCGCGGAAGAGAGACAAAAACCACGCCTGGATAAATGGAAGGCGTGCTGGCCGTACTGACTATCCTTCGGTGTTAATATCAGTAGCTTAACTGTTGGGTTAAGGCCAGACGTTGCGCTGCTGGCTGTATCGTCTACGTCGTTACGGTAGCGGGTTTGAAACTGCTGGCGGCAGTCCCCTTACCGGCCAGACATTATTATAATTATTATTATTATTATAATTATTATTATTATTATTATTATTACAATTATAATTATTATTATTATTAATATTATTATTATTATTATTATCTTTTTTTTTCACGCTACAGGACCGTTTTCTATTAGTAGCGGTATCTTATATGGAACGGTTTGACCACTACACCGGGTCCTCGCCGAGGACCTGAGGGGTACAGATCTTTGTAGTTTATGAGCTGGTTATGTTATAACTTTCCTAATTATTTGCGATGTGCCTAATAAGGCGATCTTCTGTAACTGATAGAAATTATGATCTCCTGGTATCCTTTTTAGGTTATCTAGGATGTTGCGAGTGACATATCCAGTTGAACCAATCACTACGGGAATAACAACTGCCTTTGTATGCCACATTCTTTGCACTTCTATGAGTAATGATTTGTATTTTAGTTGCTTTTCAGCCTCCTTTTGTATGACATGTCTATCTGCAGGTACCGATATATCAATTATATAGCATATTTCGGTGGTTTTTATAACAATATCTGGTCTGTTTGCTTTTATTTCTCAATCCGTGATAACGGGATGGTCATATATTATTGTGATACTACCATCTTCACTTCGTGTTATTCTGTCGGGGTGATGCTTATACCATTTCGTCGATTTTGTTGGACAACCAAGGTGGCGAGACACTTCTAGATGGATGGCTGCGCAGACATTATTGTGCCTGTCAGTATATTCTTTTGGCGCTAGTATTGGACATGCAGATATTATATGTTCAACAGTTTCATTATGAATGTGACATAATCTGCATTTACCGTCATTCCTCGTCTTGTGTATTGCTTGCTCAATGTAACGCGTTTTCAAGGCTTGGTCTTGTGCTGCCACCAGCAAGCTTTCGGTTTCCCCTTTTAAATCTCCGTATTGTAACCATCCAAATGACAGTCATAAGTCAACCGGAAGCTCCTCCATTTGACGGATATGCTGTCCGTGTAGAGGCTTACTCCGCCATTTCTCTTCGACAGATTGCTTCAAGTACAGTTTGATGGACCTGTTACGTCGCTCGACCTGTATGTCCGGTTTCCGCAGCTTCTAATTTGATCTTATTACTACGCTTTACAATAGATCCATTTGTTGGTTTCCTATTGTCATGTGCTAGTAACATCTGTAGTAGGCGGTCTTGCTCAGATCTAGTTTGAATATATTGCCCTATTGAGAAGATAGTATTGTTGTACGTTTCTTCTATTTGCTTTAGTCCTCGTCCCCCTTTCTTTCGTGGCACGTATAATCTGTCGATGTCTGCTTTGGGATGAAGGATATTATGTGTTGTCATTACTTTTCTTGTTTTGCGATCCATTTGTCTCATGCCATCCAATGTCCAATTGATTATATATTATTATTATTATTATTATTATTATTATATAATATTATTATTATTATTATTATAATTATTATTATTATTATTATTATTATAATTATTATTATTATTATTATTATTATTATTATTATAATTATCATTATTATTATGATTATTATTATAATTATTATTATTATTATTATTATAAATATTATTATTATTATAATGGAAAAAAGGAACTTTTACTCTGAAATGATACACCAGGCGGAAAATAAAACTAAAGCAATTTGGAAGATAGTCGATAGCGAGAGAGGCATCAGGAAACAGAAACACACAAATGTCTCAAGTGATGAAATCAATAGTTTTTTCAGCACTATTTCTTGTAAAATTCTTGAGGGCATTGAAAAGCCTACTATTAATTACTTGTCTCTCCTCAACCGTCCTCCCAAGACACCGCATTCATTCTTCATGTCTGCGATACTCCAAACAGATGTGAGATGTGCTATAGCTCAACCAAAAAACTCACCCACACTCGACTTCTATGGAATGAACAATGCTATGTTGAACATAGCTAGTGAGGATCTCATTGAACCTTTAACAATACTATTTAATAAGTGTGTTAATGAAAGCGTGTGGCCTGATGCTTTTAAGTTGTCAAAGGTCATTCCCATTCCATTCCCATCATAGCTTATGAGATCATACTTAGTTAATAGATGACAGATGGTTAGCCTTGATGGAGTAGAATCGCAGGTTCTACCGATTACGAACGGGGTTCCCCAAGGCTCTGTCTTAGGCCCTCTATTATTTTTAATCTACATCAATAACCTCCCACAAAATGTCAACAACAGCAAATGCTACCTTTTTGCAGACGACACTACTCTGCTCTCCAAGGCTACCCAACTTGACGAGGCCCACAGCCTCGACCAGGTTAAGCGGTGGTTCTCCGCAAACAAGCTCAAACTCAATGAAGCGAAAACCAGTAAGCTAAGAATAACATCAGACAATTGGAATGAGACTTCATCATCCGTAAAGTTATTAGGGATCGTTGTGGATAGCCGCTTGACCTGGTCGGAGCATGTGGACAAATGTTTATCATGAGGCAACTGGCTCAGTGTTTGCACAGACAAACCATGAGAACTGTATACTTCAGCATCATTCATAGTCATCTGTCCTATGGTATCATCTTCTGGGGTAATCCTGTCAAGGCCCAAAAAGCATTTATAATGCAAAAGGCTGCTATACAGATTGTAGCTGGCGTCTCCTACGATCATACGTGCCGTGGTTTGTTCAAAGAGATGCGCATACTGCCGTTAGCATGCCTGCTCATACAAATTACGGCACTGCTATGATGATGATCTAATATGTAGAGTTGCTTAGGTTTGCACTTTTCGATTCCTTTGTTCTAGTGTAGGTTATAAGTAAGAGATGCATGTAAACCAAGGTGACGAGAACTCATTCGTCTTCTGTTAAATAAAGTCGCTTTTTTGAAAAGTCGTTCGTTGTTTGCACATTCTTAATTGGCGCTGCGAACAGGATATCGGCGTACCGAATCGATAATCGGCGGTATTGATTCACGAGTATCGCTCAATCGAGACCGAAAAAGTGCCAAAAATCGTCCGGTGTGTTCGGGTACGATTTCAATCGTTTTGACGTCGATCACAAAGAACTTCGAAGGCTACACCGAGCAGGCACATCACCATCGAAGTACCAGGCCGAAATACTTGCTAAGTATTTTGGGAGCAGGCAACGACACTTGAGAAAACGACAGGAACTGACAGGAGCGAGGTGCTGGATCCACGGCAGGCAAGCTGTCAACCAGGAGGAGCTGTATTGGCCCAAGGAGGTATCTCAGATCTCTCCAAATGAAGCTGCTAGTGCCCAGTGTAGCGTAAGAAACAACATTTACAATTTTTGCTGTACTTAGTGATTTTTCCATTTATTTCTCGAAACTTTTTCGCCCTCTATTGCTTTACATTTATATATACTCGTAAAGGCTATCTATAAGTAAACTTATTTAGTGACTTTAATTGCATATATATATATATATATAGAGTTATTTTTACACCCTCACGTCTTAATTCTAAATATATGGTACCAGAATATCATGGAGGTCACAGAGATCTAATTTATTTTTTGGATAATTCAGAAAAGTTTATTGCAGAATTTGTTAATACTCCTTTTGTTGCTTTCCAATATGTTATTTCTCAGCTGAAAAGCGAAGTAAGAGATTTAGTGCATCTAACTAGTCCGAGAACCTGGCCAGATTTAAAATCATTATTATTATCCAAATATAAAGATCCTAGAAATGAAGAAACCCTTCTCACCGCCTTATATACGTCAGTTCAGAAACCTAACCAAAAATATGAAGACTTTTATCAAGAAATTAAATTTAAGGTACAGAGCCTGAAAGAATTCGCAAATTTAGAATACCATGATAATCCCGATCATATCACTTTTAAATTGAGAGACTATGATAGACAGTCTTTGAGCTCCTTTATCTCTGGTTTGAATGAACCATATAGGTCTTATGTAAGACAGTAAAATCCTACTACAATTGATTCTTGTGTTCAATATTGTCGTGATTATGATAATTTGCAAATGCGATTACAAAAATTTCTTAAGAACGAGCCTATATAAACGACAACAGCCTCAGTCTCAGAATAAAGTACAAGCTTCAAATCAAAATTTCCAAAGGTCTAATTTTAATTTTTCTCAAAAGCCCAATCAGTTTAGAGCCCAAAATAGTCAAACTTGGCTAGAGCCACAACAAACCTTCCTTATAGGTCCCACGCAACTACCACCACC